TGTCTGGGTGAACAGTCCTCATCTTTAGCTTGAGGGTGTCAACAGCAATGAAGGATGCTATCACATAGCATTGTTCACCACATCCCACAAGGTTCATCTGGAGTCTTTGTATAAGAATATTATTACTGTATATGGAAGCATTTTGTGAGGTAATCTGTACAATGATGCTATTTCTGCACCCCTGCTGTTTTCCATGTACAATCATCTTCCTTAGACCTATCACCACCATTTATCATTCCATCTTGTTCCTTTGTCTCCTTTATATTATGATGATGATGATGATGATGTTGTTGTTGTTGTTGTTGTTGTTGTTGTTGTTGATTTATATGCTGCTTTTCTCCCAACAAGGGACCCAAAGCTGCTCACAACATTAAAAAATTCACACAATTTAAAAACACAATAAGTTAAATATTAAAAAATAAATTAAACAATATATGATTTAAACATTATATTACAAGATTAAAACATGGAAAAAATTAAAATTATTTGCCGAAATGGGGTTCAGGGATTCAGTTGTAATTGTTAAAAGCCTGCCTGAAGAGATGGGTCTTTAGCTTTTTTCGAAAGGATAAAAGGGAAGGGGCCATCCTGATCTTCTAAGGGAGAGCGTTCCATAGCCTGGGAGCTGCCACAGAGAAGGCCCTCTCCCGTGTCCCCATCAGCTGTACTTGTGCTGGCAATGGGAACGAGAGGAGGGTCTCCTCTGCTGATCTTAATTGCCGAGAAGGCGTATATAGGGAGATACGGTCGTTCAGGTAGCCTGGACCCAAGTTGTATAGGGTTTGATGGGTAATGACCAGCACTTTGAACTGGGCCTGGAAATGGACTGGTATACAGTGCAGTTCTTGTAAGAGGTGCATTATATGCTCTCTGTAGCTGGCCCCAGTCAGTAGTTTGGCTGCAGAGTTTTACACCAGCTGAAGTTTCTGAACAGTCTTCAAAGGCAGCATATTTTATTCTTCCCTTAAAGCACTGCTCCCTAACCCTTGCATGTCTTGCCCTCAGACTGATACTCATTCAGTTTTGCAGCTGGCTATCTCTGTATTAATTAGTATTAGTGTGTAGTATTAATTCTCATAAACTTATTATATCCCCTTCCTGCACAGAAACTAAGCTGCCAAATTTCTATTGCTTCTCACAGGTAGCTAGAATACTGTATTTAGGAATACTTGGCCATATCACATCAGCTCACTCATTTGGTGTCAAAGCCGTACTTACCATTTAAAGCACATTCCATAAAGAATAGCAGAGACAGCTCGCAATATTAGTCAGGAAGCTACTGCGATGCTCCCTCCAATCCCACCCTCACCCAAGGTACAAGTTTATAGGAGAAAGTAATACAAAACATATTTCCTTTCACTACACTGTGTTGGGGGATAAATCCAGCTTCTGGCAACTGACTTTACAGCCACAATATAGGAAAAGCAGAAGAGCTTATAGAGTCCCTATTTCTTGCATTTTTAGACTTGAACTACAATCAAGGCAATTTCCCCATCAAAAATACTAAAATAAAGAGAAAATGAATAGAATAGTCTATTCTCATGCTCCTGATACTGTATTCTCCTTCAGGGATTAAATACTCACTTCTATTCTACCTCAGCAAATGAGGAATTGCATGGGCTTATCTCAGTTCCCACTTCCTGAAATATCCAGGCCTACTTTTTTGCCTACCTCCCCTTTAAGTGGAGATGGTTCTGATGTAACCATTTAAAATACATTTTGGATAAAATTCAAGGCTGTTATATCCCAGCTGGAGACTAATCAAAATAAATAATACTGAGGCATAGGCTTGAAACAGCCACAGATTAATTTTAATTTGGAAGTTCTAGACTTCCCTCTCATGGCAGCATATGGAATGGCTACATTAACAGCACCTAGGATAGGAATTATAGTAGTGTACTGTATCTTTCAAAGCATGAAGACCATCTACTTTCACAGGCTATTTTGTTACACAGAATTCATCACAGTGTCTTTATTTTCTCCCTTTTTTTCTGTGCATGATCCATTATGACTCCCCTACTGCTGTCTGTTATCTTCCCCCACCCTCCCATTTAATACTGTGGAGGTTAACATCTCTTTGCTTGGAAATACTTCTCTAACTTCTGCTGTCATATTCTTAAAGGATGCCAATTATTGCTAGGTGGATAGAATGCTTATCACCTGGTATTCTTGTATCATTTCGAAATAATGTTGTTTTATAAATATCTTAGCTCCCAATCCTTTGATGTGACTGTGGATAATCATGGATGTAGCACCAACTTACAGCTTGGTGTCCTATGGCTTCTTTGACCATCATAAAGCTGAGTTAGTTGGTGGCTAGCTCCATAGGTAAGGCAGGGCTTATCTTTAATGTCTACACTAGAGGAAGTAAGATGGGTTGTTTGGCTACAGAAACGATCATGCTGGATCTAATTATTATGGTCAGATCATCTCCTACTGAAGTTTGGGAAGACTCACAATTCAGTAGATTTGCAAATGCCCTGGTTGTTGTTGTTTAATAATGAAGAACTATATAGAAAAGATGCAAGTTCCTTGAAGAAAAATCCTCTGATGTAAAACCTGCAATTTTAAAATGAAAATTGTAACAAGAAGAGAACAGCAAATACGGAAAGCAAAACATTTAAAATGAAAATCCTAACAAGAACAGACCAGCAAATATGGAAAGTAAAACTAAGGCCCACAGAGCAGAAATGCTGAATTCGAGGGAGTGCTGACAAGTATTGAGCCTTACCCAGAAAAAAAATTGAGCTAGAAAGGTTGACTCAGCCTTCCATCCTTCCGAGGTCGGTAAAATGAGTACCCAGCTTGCTGGGGGGGCAATGTGTAGCCTTTATAATTAAAATTGTAAACCGCCCGGAGAGTGCTTGTAGCGCTATGGGGCGGTATATAAATCCAATAAATAAATAAATAAATAAATAAAGCTGTAAATTGCAGGGTGTATTGGCCAATTTGTCTATATTCACGGGTGCAAAAATAAACTACCTATGATTTTAACTTAACATTCATTTTCTGGTCCAAAGTGAACATGGCAGCACCTCCAGAAAACTTCAATGTGGAAAAGCATAGGACCATAATCAAGTTCCTGTTTCTCCAAGGGAAAGGTGCAAAGCAGATCCCAAAGCAGAAGAATTTAAAAATCAGAATTGTTAAAGATTTTCTATACTTTGGTTCAATCTTCAAATGAAGCCTGCAGCCAATAAATCATAAGACTGAGACTTAGAATGGCAGCTATGAAGAAACTAGAAAAGATCTTCAAGTATAAGGGGGTGGAGATACAGTGGTGCCTCGCTTAACGAGCGCACCGTATAACAATGAAATCGCACAGCGATCCGTTTTTTTAGATCGCTAATGCGATCGCTCAACGAGCTTCAGATAGGGAGAAATTCACTTTGCGAAGATCGGTAAGCGTTTCGCTTACCGATCTTCGCAAAACGAAGCTCTGACGATCAGCTGTTTGGCGGACAAAATGGCCGCCGGAAGCCCCAAAATGGCCGCGCGCAGCATTTTCGCGCCCTCCCCTCACTTAACGAGGGCGCGAAAATGGCTGCCGGCCATAGGAAACCTCGCTGAATGGTGAGTAAAGGAGTTCCAATGGCTTTCCCTGTCCCGTTCAGCGATGTTTCGCTATAGCGAAGGTTAATCCGGAACGGATTAACCTCGCTATGCGAGGCACCACTGTACTTGACATCCACAGTATTCCTGATTATTTAGTATGAATGTGGGCCAGACCAGATGGGCGGGATACAAATCAAATCAAATCAAAAAATCAATCAATCAATAAATAAAGTTGGATAGTGAAGCTGACAAGAACAAAATAAACTCATTTGAAATATAGTGTTGGAGAGTTTTATAGATACCTGGACCACCAGAAAGATGAACAATTGGATCATGGGTCAAACAATACTGAACTTCCTCTAGAAACCAGAAAGATTAAACTGAGACTATTGTACTTTGGACACATCATGAGGAAGCAAGAGTGAAAGGAACAGATAAGGCTAGGAAAAGTTGAAGGCAGCTGGAAAAGAAAACAAAATATGAGACTGACTTAATAAACGAAGTCACACCCTTGTGTTTGGAAAACCTGAACAGGGCTGTTAATGACAGAACGTCCTGAAGGTCACTATTTCATAATGTCACTGTAAGTCACAAGCAAATGGACGTCAGCTAGAGCTCATGATACTGTAGAGCAGCGATGGCGAACCTTTTTGGGCCCGAGTGCCCAAACTGGAAAAACAACAACACGACAGCAGGTGGTGGATTGCAGTGGCGGCGGCACCGGAAGTGGTGGTGGTAGAACTAGAAATGGTAGCAGAAGGGGGAATCCTGGGCATAGAGGTGCCTCGAGACAGGGGACAGGATTGTCACTGAGAGTAGCATATGGCCCTAAAAAGGAGCAATAGCACAACAGGAGATATAGTGCCAAGGCCAGCTTCAATTTTTCTCCACTCCCACTATTCTAATTTTGCGTAGTGACCACTTTCTCCTTCTGCAGCGTCATTTCCAGCCTTATCTCTAATGTCTTCTATGAAAATGTGGTGCATCCTGGCAGCTATGTTAAGCAGCATGGCCAACAAGGCTTCCATGCTCAGTAGGATAGTGTTCCTGTTTCCTTCCTCAAATGGTCTAGTCTCACTCACCAGTTTCTGGCCAAAAACAGTCACTTCTGTATGCCTGCATTCAATTCTTGGCCATTTCCTTTGAGGCTTTTTATTGAAAATATCACACTCATTCCTCCCATGTATGTCATCTGCATGGAACACAAATCAGTCTGAAGGGACAGGCAGATATCTTACAACTACTGTATGAAAAAGTACTGATAACTTTTTATTAGTACCTATCCCAAACAGTTTGAACACACTGCGTAAATATGACTGGGGGAGGGTCATCCCCAACACGGAAAGGTTAAAGATATGCTGGGTATAGTCTTACCTTACTTCCCCTTTGAAATGATTTATGTTCAACTTGTGCTGTAAAATTACTCAAGAAAAAAAAAGACAGAATTCCAAATGAACTAGATTTTATGTAATAGTATTTTGGAATGTTACAATCAAAACTATTACATTAACTCTCTTTTTAGCAACTGCGTACTATAGCACCATACTCAGTGACTGTATTTTATCCAATTGTCTTCTTTCTATAGATATGTAATGTGGTGACCTATGACCGTACTAGATGAGCACGTTGTCCAAGACTGGGAGAAGCACTTTCCCCTTTGTTTGGGGGAACATTCTACCCAGAAATCCCCTTGACAGCTAGCAAGATAGCAAGCAGTCCTGCAGAAACTGAAATATGAAAATGTGTAGCACATGCTGTTGTTGCTGTCAAGGTGGAACTGACTTACAGTGAACCTAAGAGGGCTTCCAAATTGAGAAACTGAAGGAGTGGTTTTAGCAGCTCCACACCCCCAGTGAGTTTCCATATCTGAAGGGGGAGTCTAACCCAGGCTTTCTTATTTAGCACTCTATGCACTATACCACAATGGGTGTACCACAGACTGGGTTAAGAAATTACTAATCATAACCTCTGCTATACATTGGAAGTTATTACATAGCATGTAAAATCAGACCCAACTAAACTGAGCAGAATGAGAAAGTTACTGCAGTGAGCACATTGGATCTACACTCAGTCATACCTAGAGTGAAAGTTCTGAACCCAACAGAACCAGTAATCAGGATATTATTGTTTTAGTGGGTTTACTCTAAGTCAAATGAAGTCTGAAAACAGCCTATTATTTTCAACACATACAATTCAGCCAAAGGTAGACCACCTCTATAGTCTTAAAGGGTTACTTTCAGTGTGGTGATTTGGAGCGGATGCAAGTGTACACAATCCAAAGGCTCCCCCTGGGCCAAAGTTCCTCAGGATACCAAGGTGGAAAAGATAGTGAGTTCTCTTTCTTCTCAGTAATTGTGCTGTGAAAGCATAGGCATGATTGTCTTTGTAGGCCCTCTTACCAGTAGTTCAGGTTCTGCTGGGAAACAGGACAGTTGTATTCTGATGGGAAAGAGGACATGAGAGAGTGACTTTCCTTACTTAAACCTCTGTGTGACAGTAGCAGAAGGGTGGTGACAATATGGAGGCAAACATCTGGCCGTGCCGCAGGGTAGGCATGGGGAGGGCACAGGCTGCGCACCCATAACTTGCCAAGGACTGCATCATATTCTTCCTAGATAAGGAGTAGATAAGGAAATTAACACTTTACTCCTTATACTCTCCCTATATGAACTAGTATAGCAGAGTAGGAGGGCATTTTAAGGATTGGGGCTATTCCTATTTCACTTTCTCAAATGACTAACACCCAATATGCTAATGTTCTCGTAAAGGAGAATACATGACCATTTTCTGTAGCAACAAAAAGAATTTTATCTCAAAGTTTTTCCAACCTGGACCATAAAATCCCTTAATTGTGTATACAATCTCATTACAACTGTTTTCTCCACACAGGTGATCAAATATCTGCACAGACTGGATGATCAAATGTAGTTATTTATCGAGATCATACAGATTTTTCAGATGTGTGAGGAGGGGAACTGTGGGTGCCACCAATCAAAAAGACGCACACTGTATACAGGGTCCATTACAACTTGCACTCCATGGTCAAATCTAGGTTTCTTGCCATTCCAAACTGGAGAATCATGGAACACCATTTTCACTCTGTGATGCCTCATATCGGTGCTCACATTAATTGAGAACTGCAAAACAAGACAAAAAAGTCAAGAGATCTCTTCATGATTTAGAGACTCTTCCAATATAAAATATTACTCACATCCTCCTAATTCTACTAAAAGTGAAACAAGAGAGGTTATTTTTTACAGTATTTGAGCTTGTACATACTTCAAGAATATATTTCTTGGAAAGACTACATTGTTATTCAATTTTTAACCATAAAGGCTTTTGATTCAGTTAACACCTGTTAACAAACAGTACTAAATCTTTACTGGAACATAATGGACGTAATTTCTAATCTAGCAAGACTGCTATAAGGATTGCTTTGTGCATACTTTTAAAGATGTGATGATAACTCCCAGCACTTACCAGGGTAACTATCATTCCCATGACTACAGGAACATATATAAAGTCAAGAGTAGTGATCTGTAAGAGGCAGCAATCTTGATCAGGGTTCATGTGGACATCTTTGTACCGGATGGGTGGTTGGAGACGTTTCAAACAGTTATTCTTAAACTTGGGAGACTCAAAAGAAAAATATTCATTAAGTTTACTAGAAATAGATTTTTTGGTACACTGTCACAACTGAAGACCATGCCTGCGAACTGAGATTTGGCAAGCAAGAGAGCATATTCCATTGCAAGAGAACTTGAAGAGCTGTCTTTGGAGGATTATGACTGCCTTCTGACTACAGTGGTGCCTCACATAGCGATCGCTCCATTTAACGAAGAAATCGCTTTGCGACGATGTTTTTGCGATCGCTTTTGCGATTGCTTAGCGATGGTCCCTATGGGAAAAATTTGCTTTGCGATGATCGCAGGGAAGCGATCATCGCAAAGCCCCCATTTTCAGCCAGCTGATCGGCGGTTCCAAAATGGCCGCCAGATAAACAAAATGGCCGCCCGCTGTGTTTCCTTGCTTTAGAGGCACCGAAAATGGCCGCCCCTATGGAGGATTTTCGCTTAAGGTTAGTTTTTAAGCCCACAGGAACGCATTAATGGCATTTTAATGCGTTTCTATGGGCTTTTAAATATCACTTAGCGATGAAATCACTTAGCAGCGATTTTTGCTGCACGGATTAACATCGCTAAGCGAGGCACCACTGCACTTATACCCTTTTATGTAGGCAACGCCTGCCCTTGCATTGAAGCTTTCTATATGAAGAATTTGCAAAAGCTTAAAGGAAAAATTTCTTTCCAGTACTCAATTTTAAGCACTAATTTTTGCCATGACATGATTTCAGATGAATATGTATCTTCTAGTTCAGAGACTGTGAACCAGTTGTCAGTTACTTGTCTATGAGACAGAAGCAAGCTAATTTAATACTAAGTAATACTATTCTTGCGACTTTTAAAGCAGGCGTCGTAAACTTTTGGACTACACATTTTGTTCATAATGACCCATTTGTGTGTATACATGTAGACCACAACGAAGAACACAGTAGTTTCATACACTGTGCCAGTCACATATAATTAATCTGTTTATATATTGCAGTCTTCCTGTTACAGAAAATCCTTTTGGAAGGGCATACACTGTATCACAATAAAGCAGAAACCCATACTGCTGTAGAAGTCACAACCTGGTCACCTAAAAGGGAAAGGCCAGATTTTCAGAACACATACTTTATGAAACTAGAGCAACCATCAAATATGCAGTTAGGTAAACCACCTTTGCTTAATATTTTAACAATGAAAACAGAAAAATAGCTGTACAGACATTTAGAGGTTACCTTGAGTTCCAGAAATCGGCTATCAAAGGTCATTTGTCTTATCTTGAGATGCATAATCATTAACACAAGAATCTTCAATCCAAAGTTTTTCTGGCATATAAGTATTTTTACTTGCCAACTAACTTTCACTGCTTTTTAAATTTAATCAATCAGCTCAGTATTTCAAATTGCTACTTTTTATGACTGTTTTAAATATGACAATATTGTTGGCCTAATATATTGCTTCCTTCTTCTGTGTAAGCAGCTCTGGCCATTAATAATAGAAAAGCAGGATATAAGAAGACAAGCTATTCCGAAATGTTGTTGCACTGATATTGGTAAATATTTAGCATACTCACCTGCCTTTGGAATTTGAAGCTGAATTCCCACAGTGAAGATTGTTGGTCAACTTTTTTTGACCAAAAAAGCAGACACTGATGCAGAAGAGAGAAATATTGGTGATATGTCAACTGAAACTACAAAGACATAGAGCAGCTTGTGCAAACAAAGTCTAATTAATAAAGTTTGAATTGCCATTAATAAGAATCTGTTATATTTTTAAGTACAACAGGGCAGCAAAAATGCTTGCTTATGATTCTATCCTGATTCTACATGAACAATGAATGAAACGTAACACCAAAGCAATCATACAACACAGTTAACTGTGTACGGTGTTCATACTGAAAAGTTATCAGTAAGGAAATTAAGGGCTGATAATTAGCAATGATAACAAAGGAAAACCATTTACAATTCTCTACTGTTATTTTTTTTTGCAGGAAATGCAAAGTTTGGGAAGTCTTCTTGAAGGCATATTCCTTAAGAATTGTAACAGTTTAAAGTTCAACCTTTAAACTCATTGATTCTACTCTGAACATAACTTTCCCCCCATTCTGTTAATGTTTCTTGAGCAGTAAGAATACTTTTGACCATTCTATGGCAGGTCAAAAATTACATGCGGGTGGGGGCTTGTTGCAACAACTGCAGCCACAGTGCTGACAGATCTTCAGTTCAAGACTAGCATCAGGGATGGATGTTTGCCTCTATGCAACAATGATACACTAGACTGACAGCTTCCATTTTACTACAATTTATCAGTTTGGGATTACTATGCTTTGTGTGACAAATTCCTTGTTTTAAGCAAATCCCCTTATGAACATCCAAAAGTAGAACTTGAGGTTAAGGCAAACCTCAGCTTTAGAAACAGAAATATCACCAAGACGTTTTGCAGAATTTCAGTTCTGAAAATACAAATAACCAAGTGGAAATGGAATACCAGCTTTACAGTGCTATTCAAACAAATGTTTCTATGCTCTCAGATTAAATGAAAGTAAACTCAAGCTACAGCTCAAATTAAGTCTTCTTACTCCAAAGTATGGCCTATGGGCCACATCCAGCCTGCCTTGCCTTTTTATCTGGCCTGTCTGTGCGTGTGTGGATGCAAGTATGTGTGTGTATGCGTGTACGCACATGTTCCTTCGGCTCTCAAAAATATTGCAAATATATTATGTGGCAGCCACCCTCCCATCCAAAAGACAATAGCTGAAAATACTCTCTCTTTCAGTTTTACATTGTGCAGAGAATGGCCTTCATATAAGCATTGTATTCATTATAAGCAGACTATATAGGAGACATCCACAATCCAAACTGTAATTCATGCAGCAGCAAGCTTTCATGCAGGCTAGTGTCCCTTTGTGGCTTAACAAAAGCATGCTCCCTCAATATGATCTTGCTTCTGAGCAGCCTTGAATATTAGTCATAAGGAGGAAATTAGTTTATGCACATGAATACCTCCTAAGGGGCAGAGGACGTCATCCACAAGTCAGATTTCCTACCCTTCTGATGTGTACCATGTAGCCTGCTGCTCCAAACAGTGGGGGTGTCTTTAAGGACAAGGTTCTGCTGCCACCACAACGGCTCCAGTGTCCTACAGAAACTACACTGGGAAAAAGAAAAGGAAATTAAATAGCAAAAGCTGGATTAAGTAACCAAAAGGATCAAGTCTTCCAGCCTTGCATGCTCAAGGTATGCAGTTATCTCCCATTAATGAGAAAAGATGGTAAATATAGAGAACTAAAATGGAAGCATAAAGCTTCTGTAGATGTACAGTGTACAAAAGCACTGTTGCACGTACAAATGCATGACTTGCATTTTAGTAATGCCAAGGTGCAAGAGAATGAGACTGATGCCAGATTTCTCTGCTTTTACAAATTAAGCCAGACCATAACTGTTGGTACAATACAGACTTTTGACATTTAATTTCCTTTTGCAAGTTTTTATTACTTCTTTACACCCAAAAGGTTGCACAAATTGTTAGTATGATAGTAGCATTAGCTGTGGACACCAAAGCCGTTGTGATGTGAACAACTATTCAAATTGCTAAGTCTTCCATTCCCATTAGATTGGCAATTGGCTAACCCCAGCATATGGAACAAGGTTGTTTTTAGTCATGCAACAAACTGCTAATGAGCTATTCAGGAAAAAAGGATAGATCCGCGTTTATACACAGAAGGAAATCACATACTCTGTTTAAGACTGAACAACTTAATTTCTCCTTTGAGAGGTCAAACAGAAAACAACAGTATAATAAATCTTCCTTAAAATCCAGAGTTAAAGCATTAACAAACAGCAGGTAGAGACGCACAAAAGTACTGCTTATAAATATGAATCTATTCAGAATGTCTTCATTCACATGTACTTCACTGTTTTAAGAGACAACTGGATAGACACACTTCTGAAATCCAGTTACTTACTTTTGAATTTTTTAGAGTATTCGGAGTAGTATCTGGAATAGCTGGATTTCTGGCTATTTGTGAAACAAAAGGTCTGTACATATGATATAAAGAACGAATTACACATGCACGAAGGCAGTACATCTTTTCTATCGATTCTGGTTGTAAACGAATTGGAAGGCATGCATTCCTGTTGTAGTGCCTAGGAGAAAACAGACCCACATTTAAGACAAATAACAAATTCCATGGAAGTAATGAAGCAGTTCGTAACTACTCAGATTCCCTCCTGCCCCTCCCAAACTTACCTTGACTGCTGTGTATACGCGCCATGTCAAATCAACTATCCATTTCAGTCTGGCAAGTACAAATTCTCACCAAGTCATGGGAATATAGCCTGAATCTTAACATCTATAGACTGGGACATAGTATCTTGTAGCCTTCTCTTCATACTACACTTGGGTGAATTCCATTAGATCAAAGTGAAAGGTTTCCTCACAACTAGAATGGGGCATACAGAGTAATAACATTTACAAATCTAATGTAAATCAATCAAGAATCTATACTATATAGCACACTCATGTACCTTGATGAGGGGAAGGTTGTGCATCATGACCCAAGTCATCCAACAAATTCTGTGCCTCTACCAGAGGGTTCTGTAAAACCACTAACTAGAAACAAGCATCATATGTAATGCGTGCCCTCCCTTGGCTTCTTCTGAAGTAATGTACACCAATTTTGTGGCTAGCTAAAGTACAATTTAGATGAAAAGTATAAGCAGCTTATGAATGTCATGATTCAAAGTGATCACTGCATAACCCAATCATGCACTGCTGTGCAGCCCTAACCTAACCTCCCTTACAGCCCTGATCTTGCATCTTGTGACTCATGGCAATTGTTATGAGATGCTGACACCATGAAGGTGGCAGTGAAGCAATGGTTGAAAAACAGATTCAGAATTCCTAACTGACACAATGAAGATGCTGATTTTATGCTGAGAAAAGGATACTCCAGTTGGGGCAGATTATAATGAAAAATAAGGGACCACCTGTAAGATTAACAAAAGCTAAAGAAAAGCATATGGTTCTTGTATACAATTCAAAGGTAAGGAAGGGTACCTTTATCAGACCACTAAAAAGTAGCAAACAAATGCTTGCAGCTGTTGTATGGTATCACTGTTTGGATTAAGGGTTTTAACCCCTCCGTTGAAAGCATTTTATCAAATACGTTGCAATCCTTATTTGCCATGCCAAGATGTGCCTCTTCAGCCAGTCTGCGGCTTGAAGCTGGTATGCCCTCAGTGGAATGCCAAGCGTGGCTGCATGCATTTCATTTTTGGTTAAAGGTGGTCTATGCACCAATAACCAGTGGCTACCTATACTATTTGCAGAAAGATGTCTTTGCCAGTTCACGGCATAAGGGATTTATAGAAAAACTACATCTCTTAGGCTTCTCTATGAACTTCTTGAGACAGTCTCAAGGCAGCATTAAGCCAATATGTATTCAATGTATCGAAGATACAGACTTTTAGTACTCTCTAGCTTGTGTAGACAGGACTTGTTCACCATTGTGTTTTGGCCTAAATTTTAACTTCCCCAAGCAGCTAACTACCTATACCAAATTACAGCACCAAGATACTGCTTTGCCTTTTCAAGGGCTAGGTTTAACCGCTTTCCCTCAGCCTTTTTAAAAGGGCGTTTTAATAACACCCCATACGGTGAAAGGCACTGTCCCTGCAGGAAAGAAATTACACAGATGCAACCATATTATTTCAGTTTTTAATTTTTACTTCCCTCCCCTTAAAAGATTTTAGTTTGTTGTTCAACTGAGTTGTACAGTTCATAGGTCTCATTAAAGGCGGAAAAATGTTCTGAAATGATTTATCTTTGTCTCATTTTTTTTACATCAAGACATTTGACATTTTAACAGAGGTGTGTAAACGTTTTATATCCACTATAATTTATATAGGAACGAATGTATTCGATATCTTGGTTCAAGCATGAGTAAGTGTACTGGTCTACCTCCCACAGGCTATCTGAAGTTTCTGTTGTCTGGAGAGAATAAAATAATAATAGTTAGTGGCAAAGTTTTTATTTTCAACTATGAGAATTGGCAAAATGCTATAGCAAGATTGTATATTATACTATGTATTTATTCTATATATTTATCTTTATATAATCAGGTCTATGACTGCATAATAAAACTTTAAGCTTTATGCTTGCTTTTTGTCTGTATGGGTCTTCATTAGGCTGGTTACCTCTTGGTTTTGTTGATTAATTGTTTCACAGCTTCTGTCTGGCAAGTTTGGAACAATTTCTAATAATGTCATAGGTGGAATTTAAACCACCCCCCCCCCCGAAAACATTCCTGACTTGGTTTTGCAGGCATCATTTTCACACTAGCACAGAGATCTAGCCATGATTTTTTGGAACTCTGGTATTTTTTGTGCACCATCGACATAAGATGGTGCCCAGTCAGACAAAGCCTGCATGGGCTGAAAGCTAGCATTTGTCTGTGATTTTTAGTGGTCTAATAAAGATATCACCTTCCCTTGCCTTTGAACCTGCAAGATGAAATTCTGAAGTGTCATTTGACTTTTGTTTATTTTTAAAAATATCTCAATATGCTATCATTTGACTTTTTTGGATTAAAAAAATCTCAATATGTTATCCTGCTATGAGTCAACAGGCAAAGCATTTCATGTGATCGTTGTACACATTTTACTGCATGCAGGGCAGGCTTGCAGGCCTGCACTCCACCAAGGGAAACTAACTGTGGTGGTATCTGCTGCCAATAAATCCCGGTGACACTGATTTTCTGTAATTAAAAACCTCTCTCATTCCATGGTTTCCACAGTTTCCCAGTGATGAAAGAGATGACATAGGAACTATGAGTGCTTTGGGACTGAAGTAGCAAATGTTTAATTTGGTTGTTGTGGGTTTTTCGGGCTCTTTGGCCGTGTTCTGAAGGTTGTTCTTCCTAACGTTTCGCCAGTCTCTGTGGCCAGCATCTTCAGAAGATGCCGGCCACAGAGACTGGTGAAACATTAGGAAGAACAACCTTCAGAACACGGCCAAAGAGCCCGAAAAACCCACAAAAACCATTAGAGCCTGGCCGTGAAAGCCTTCGCGAATACAAATGTTTAATTTCTTTAAAAATTGCCCACCTGACAATGTCAGCAGCCTTATGTGGTGTCACTTTCACATCATAAGTGTATTTCAGAACTTAAAATCAACACAAACATGCATACATTTCATACATAAACTATTCCCTATGCAAGCCCCTTCAAACTGAATCACCAGCCCTAACCCTTAAAACTGCAAGAGCACTGTCTGAGTAATGTCTTTACAGGCGGTCATACCTTTTGTAAAGTCTGGTCCAAAAGGCAGCAGTGCAAGTAACAGTCCAGGCTCTTTTACAGATGAGAGAAAAATTCACAGTGTCTTCCGGACGTATGTAGGATGCCAGCATCAACCAAATATCGATAGGATATTCTTTGCCTGCTACCCCATCAGAATTTTCTGAACACAATGAACAGTGTTATTGACCATTATTGTATCTTCATGGATAGCAAGAAATCAAAGACAAAATCCTCATGTAGTTCTGCAAATGGTATAACTTTGGGGGATGAACAGCCCCAAGTTAAGAAATTATAGTATATATTAACTCCACATATTATCAGATGTTGACTGAGTTGTAGGTCTATGGTGATTCCTCAACTGGGGAAACTGTTCTCCACAAGTTACGCTGTTTGAGATATGCTAGGTAAGAGCATTTGGGCCAATGTGACTTCAGAAGAATTAGAAGAATAATCAAGCTTCCCTTTATTGCAAAAAGAGGCTACATTGTCTTGACTGATTCTGATATAATATGTTCAGAATATAATAGTAAGGTTACTATAGCAAAATGAGAAAGTCTATTTTAGCTATGTTGTCACAGGAAAAAGTAGGAATATAATGCACATGTTGCTAATGGGAAAGTAAGCCTCAGGATCTTTTGTACCAGTTCAGCATACCTTCTCCTCTGAACCTGTACAAGAATGTTAATAAAATGATGTAAGTCATAAACCAATAAAGCTCGCTTTTATTCACAAACAAGTACAATTTAATTATCAAGCTAAATTTCTGCAAGATGGGAAGTGTTTTTAGTTAGGCATCCTTCAGTCTCGAGAGACTATGGTAACGGGCTCTGAATGGAGGACTTGGAACAGCGTATTGTGTGGCTGAGAAGGCCAATTCGAGAATGACAATTCACTAAACCTTTACAATACTCCACAAAAGAGTAATGAGTCTTACCTCTCTCAGTAAGTGTTATTGCTGAGGAGGATTGGAACCCTAATACAAAACCAGTCCTACCTCTCTCAGTAAGTGTTACTGCTGAGGAGGGATCGGAACCCTAACATAAAACCAAACTGGCTTTAGTTGGCATTGGCTCTCAGCATATAGCAGCATGGGAGAGAAAGTTGTGTGCCAATAAATACATTTAAAAAATCTACGTTCTTGAGCAATTATATAATAAATGGGAAACTTGGGATCCCAGGAGTTGCTGGACTGTGATTCTCATCATCCCTTTCCATTGGTTCTGCTGGCTAAAGATGATGAAAACTGCACTCCAACAACATATAGAAAACCATAGACACAGGTCATACAGAAGCAATTAGTGACAAATGGGAGCTATCTCAGGAGAAACCACTGCATGCAGTGATTAAATTGATCACTGTTCTTACCTTTATGCCTCTTGCTTTTTTTCTTGCTAGACAATATTCTATCATTAGTTAAATCCTTAGAATCCATCTCATCGCTACTGCCACAGGACTCTTCCACTGATAATACTTCATCAGTAGGTACACAAGATGCTTCCAAGCCACAGAGTGATTTTACTAGAACCACAAACACAAACATTATATTGAACTGGTAAATGTCCATGATTAAGTTCACATCAGTAATCAAATTTCCCTAGAGCAGGAAAATTAATATGGAAAAATAATAGTTTTACATACAGTGTGACTTCCATTTTTCAAAGCTCAATCTCTGCTCTATCTTGCACTATGCTTGTGGTAGTGAAACCTTCAGTGAGCTGAAATCCCTGTCAGCATGGAAAGCTCACTGAACTTAAGCAATTTACAGTCTAGGTTCTTTAATAAAGGAAGCTTGTCAGATGAGATTAAAGCTCATACAGGGGTTGGTCAAAGAACAGGAAACTAACCTGGGAATATGAAAATTTTTAAAAAAGAATTAGAAGGAAAGCAATGGACTAACAAAGAATAAGGTTAAAACTGGGATTTAAGAATAAGGAAGAGGACAGTGGTAACAAGGAATCTGAAGCAATAAGGCATTAAACTGTGAGATATTTCATATTGTCAGTTGTTGTTTAGTTGTTAAGTCGTATCCGACTCTTCGTGACCCCATGAACAAGAGCATGTCAGGCTCTCCTCTCTTCTACTGCCTCCTGGAGTTTGGTCAAAGTCATGTCGGTAGCTTCAATGACACTGTCCAACCATCTCGCCCTCTGTCGTCCCCTTCTCTTCTTGCCTTCATGCTTTCCCAGCATCAGGGGCTTTTCCAGGGAGTCTTTGCTTCTCATGAGATGGCCAAAGTATTGCAGCCTCAGCTTCAGGATCTGTCCTTTCAGTGAGTACTCAGGGTTGATTTCCTTCAGAATGGATAGATTTGATCTCCTTGTAGTCCAGGAGACTCTCAAGAGTCTCCTCCAGCACCACAATTCAAAAGCACCAATTTTTCGGTGGTCAGCTTTCTTTATGGTCCAACTCTCACTTCCATACATTGCTACTGGGAAAAAAATCATAGCTTTCACTATGCAGACCTTTGTCAGCAAGGTGATATCTCTGCTTTTTAAGATGCTGTCTAGGTTTGTCATCGCTTTCCTCCCAAGAAGCAGGCGTCTTTTAATTTTGTGGCTGCTGTCACCATCTGCAGTGATCATGGAGCCCAAGAAAGTAAAATCTGTCACTGCCTCCATATTTTCCCCTTCTATTTGCCAGGAGGTGATGGGACTGGTGGCCATGATCTTAATTTTTTTGATGTTGAGGTTCAGACCATTTTTTTGCGCTCTCCTCTTTCACCCTCATTACAAGGTTTTTTAATTCCTTCTCACTTTCGGCCATCAGAGTGGTATCATCTGCATATTGGAGGTTGTTGATATTAGTTCCCCACAATCTTAATTCCGGTTTGGGATTCTTCCAGTCCTGCCTTTCGCATGATGTATTCTGCATATAAGTTAAATAAGCAGGGAGACAATATACAGCGTTGTCGTACTCCTTTCCCAATTTTGAACCAATCAGTTGTTCCATATCCAGTTCTAACTGTTGCTTCCTGTCCCACATATAGATTTCTCAGGAGATAGATAAGGTGGTCAGGCACTCCCATTTCTTTAAGAACTTGCCATAATTTGTTGTGGTCCACACAGTCAAAGGCTTTTGTGTAGTCAATGAAGCAGAAGTAATTTTTTTTCTGGAGTTCTCTCGCTTTCTCCATAATCCAGGGCATGTTAGCAATTTGGTCTCTAGTTCCTCTGTCCCTTTGAAATCCAGCTTGTACTTCTGGGTGTTCTCAATCCACATACTGCTGAAGCCTACCTTGTAGGATTTGAGCATAACCTTGCTAGCGTGTAAAATGAGTGCAATTGTATGGTAGTTGGAACATTCTTTGGCACTGCCCTTCTTTGGGATTGGGATGTAGACTGATCTTTTCCAGTCCTCTGGCCACTGCTGAGTTTTCCAAACTTGCTGGCATATTGAGTGTAGCACCTTTACAGTGTCATATTTTAAGATTTTAAATAGTTCTACTGGAATGCCATCACCTCCACTGGCCTTGCTGTTTGCCATGATTTCTAAGGCCCACTTGAATTCACTCTCCAGGATGTCTGGCTCTAGGTCAGCAACTACATTGTCTGGGTTGTCCGGGACATCTAAATCTTTCTGGTATAATTCCTCTGTGTATTCTTGCCACCTCTTCTTGATGTCTTCCGCTTCTATGTGGTCCCTACCATTTTTGTCCTTTATCTTGTCCATTATTTTAAAAAAGGTTCCATTAATAGCTCCAATTTTCTTGAAGAGATCTCTGGTTTTTCCCTTTCTCTTATTTTCCTCTTTATCTTTGCACTGTTCATTTAAGAAGACCCTCTTGTCTTTCCTTGCTATTCTTTGGAAGTCTGCATTCAATTTTCTGTAACTTTCCCTATCTCCAGAAGAAAAAGCAGAAGAAATAAGAGGTGAAGTGACTAGGATACTACGGAAAGCAAAACCCCAAAAAGCAACATAACAAGGAAGGAGAAAAATGCCATCAAGTCCTTGAACTCACATCCGGACATCATCATCCTGCCAGCAGACAAAGGCAATGCCACAGTAATCATGGAAACAGAATAATACAAGGACAAAATCAGGGAACTTCTAGACCCTACCACCTACAGAAAACTGAAAGAGAATCCAACTAACAAAATCACAAAACAATCAAACATGCTGATCAGGAGTTCCTCCCTGCATCCCAACGTCCTTCAACGAATCTGTAAGACAGAAGCTCTCCCACCAAGACTATACGGACTCCCCAAAATCTACAAGGGTTCAACCCCACTCAGGCCCACTGTAAGTGCCATCAGCTCCCCATCATATGAATTAGCCAAACACCTAGCGACCCTCCTACAGACCCACATTGGACAAATCTCATCCTACATCAAAGACTCAGGACATTTCATAAGCAAGATCAGTACCCTAAAACTCAACCCTGGGGACAGACTGATCAGCTCTGACGCAGTAGCTCTGTTCACTGAGGTACCGATAAAAGACACCCTGACACTCATCCAGCAGATCTTTCCGGAAGACATCAAGGCCCTCTTCCAACACTGCCTAACAACCAGTTATTTCCAGTGGGATAATGAATTCTATGAACAGACAGATGGCCATGGGGAGCCCCCTGAGCCCGGTTATAGCAAACTTCTACAAGGAGGATTTCGAAAAACAGGCCCTGGCTTTGGCACCCCTTGCACCCACAGTCTGGTTCCGATATGTGGATGACACCTTTGCAATTTGGAGTCACAGTGAAGAAAAAATGGGAAGAATTTCTGAACCATCTCAACAGCATCCACCCAAATATACAATTCCCCATGGAAAAAGAAATAAAGGGCCAACTCCCATTCTTAGATATCATGGTCCTATGCAAAACTGACCTCTGACTGGGACACAAGGTCTATAGAAAACCCACCCACACAGACCGGTACATACACAAAAACTCCAACCACCACCCACAGCAAAAAAGAGGCATAATCAGAACACTGGTAGACCGTGCAAATCGGAACTGTGAAGCTCAGTTTCTCAGCACCGAACTCAACCATCTGAATTGGGCCCTACAGGCAAATGGCTACTCCAAAAATGAAATCACAAGAGCCATCAAACCAAGAAAACAACACCAAACTGAAGAAGAATAACAGCCACCCACAAATAAAGCATTTCTGCCATACATCAAAGGGGTCACAGACCGCATGGGGAAACTTTTGAAAAAACACAACCTACAAACAGTATTCAAGCCCACCACAAAAATACAACAAATGTTATGGTCAGCAAAGGACAGAAGGGACCCCCTCACCACTGCAGGAGTATACTGGATACCTTGCAGTTTTGGCCAGGTATATATTGGAACTACAAAACGCAGCATTCACACCAGAATCAAAGAACATGAGAGACACTGCAGACTGAAACAACCAGAAAAATCAGCAGTAGCTGAACATGCCCTAAAACAAGCTGGATATGAAATTCTACTTCAAAATACTGAAATACTGGACAACACCAGCAATCATTATGTCAGACTGCACAGGGAAGCCATTGAAATCCACAAGCACCAGCAGAACTTCAACAAAAAAGAGGAAAGTTTGAAACTCAACAAAACCTGGCTCCCAGCTCTGAAAAATATAGCGTGCAAAAGGTCAATGAACTGTACCCAGCCACAAGGACTGGGGATCACTACACACAAAAGACCAGCTAATGACACCCATCAATCACAGTGACAGATAATCTCTCCTCCTTATCACAACAATACACCCACAACAAGAAACACTAATCACCCATCTCCTGAAAAGGACAAAAGCCTATCTCACAGCCATAAATACTCCACTCCCAAGCAAACTACATCAGAGCAGAGTGCTGTCCTCTGAAGATGCCAGCCACAGAGACTGGCGAAACGCTAGGAAGAACAACCTTCAGAACACGGTCAAAGAGCCCGAAAAACCCACAACAACCATTAGATCCCAGCTGTGAAAGCCTTCGCAAATACATTTCCCTATCTCCCTTGCATTTTGTTTCCCTCCTCTTCTCTACTATTTGTAAGGCCTCGTTGGACAGCCACTTTGTTTTCTTGCATTTCCTTTTCTTTGCAATGGTTTTTGTTGCTGCCTCCTGTACAATGTTACAAGCTACCCTCCTTAGTTCTTCAGGCACTCTGCCCACCAGATCTAGTTCCTTAAATCTGTTCTTCACTTCCACTGTGTATTCATAAGGGATTTGGTTTAGGTTACACCTTACTAGCTCAGTGGTTTTTCCTACTTTTTTTAGTTTAAGATTGAGATTTGCTACAAGAAGCAGATGATCAGAGCCACAATCAGCTCCAGGTCTTGTTTTTGCTGATTGTATAGAGCTTCTCCACCTTTGGCTGCAGAGAACGTAAACAATCTGATTTTGGTATTGCCCATCTGGTGATGTCCATGTGTAGAGTCGCCTCTTGTGTTGTTGGAAAAGAGTGTTTCTGATGACCAGCTTCTTCTCTTGACAAAACTCTATTAGCCTTTGCCCTGCTTTGTTTTGAACTCCAAGGCCAAACTTACCTGTTGTTCCTTTTATCTCTTGACTCGCTACTTTAGCATTCCAGTCCCCTATAATAACAAGAACATCTTTCTTTGGTGTCAGTTCTAGAAGGTGTTGTAAGTCTTCATAGAATTGATCAATTTCAGACTCTTCTGCATCGGTGGCTGGTGCATAAACTTGGATTACTGTGATGTTCAAAGGTCTGCCTTGGATTTGTATTGAAATCATTCTATCATTTTTGAGATTGTATCCCAGTACAGCTTTCCCCACTCTTTTGTTGACTATGAGGGGTTCTCCATTTCTTCTATGGCATTCTTGCCCACAATAGGAGATATGAGAATTGTCTGAATTGAATTTGCCCATTCCCATCCATTTTAGTTCACTGATGCCTAGGATGTCAATGTTGATTCTTGCCATCTCCTGTTTGACCACATCCAGCTTACCAAGGTTCATGGATCTTACATTCCAGGTTCCTATGCAATATTTTTCTTTACAGCATCGGACTTTCCTTTCACTTCCAGGTGTGTCTGCAGCTGAGCATCCTTTCGGCTTTGGCCCAACCACTTCATTAGCTCTGGAGCTACTTGTCCTTGTGCTCTGCTCTTCCTCAGTATCATGTTGGACGCCTTCTGACCTGAGGGGTTCATCTTCCAGCGGCATATATTTTAGCCTTTTGTTTCTGTCCATGGAGAAACAAATATACTGGGCAAAAATACTGGGGTGGCTTGCCAGTTCCTGCTCCAGGTGGATTGTGTTTAGTCACAACTCTCCACTATGACCTGTCCGTCTTGGGTGTCCCTGCATGGCATAGCCCATAGCTTCTCTGAATTACTCAAGCCCTTTCGCCATGACAAGGCAGGAATTTGTGAAGGGGCATACTGTCAGAGAAGCCACCAAACTACCAGCTAGGAAAACCCATATTCTACTCTTTTAGAAGCAGCCACTATCGCTACCAGAAAATCAGTTTCAGAAATGTAAGCTACTAACAATTAAACCTTGCTTCGATCACCAACACTACACAGTTAATGTAGTTTGTAACTACTACCTGTTAAATATATAAGTACACTTACATCAATTCTCATTTTAAGAACTCTCTATTCAGAGTTAAAACCCAAAAGAAGACAGATATTCAAGGAAAACATCTTAAGAGCTCTGATTCTATTTATAGTTCCTGTATTAGATTAATATGACTTGAACACAAGTGGCATACAAGTAAGAGCATTTGCAAGATCACTGGCTCAGCGCAGGTTAATATTTATTTATTATTAGATTTATATCCCATCCTTCTAGACAATGTCTACTATATTTAGGTGCTACATGTTAGCTCCACATAATATGTGATAGTATGCAGCTTCTCCACTTGCATATTGAACTTGCAAACAAATACAATCCTGGTATTTATGTGACACTACTGAAAAAATAAAGTTATGCAACACAAATTCAACCTCCTTAGTTCCACCGAGTGAACAGAATTACATGACTCTGAAAAGTGTGACCTGCACAAAGCTGACAACCTGATGACAAGTGGCAGGAAACTAAATCAATTATGCGACAAATCAAAATACAAAACGTTATGATTGCCCCACCAACATGGGCTTTCTAAGTGACCTTTCCGTCACTGCCAGCCCATGACAAATATCATGTTTCTGCTTTCCTAGAAAGAAGTAGCTTCTAGGGTAGGAAAAGAATAACGCTGCTTTCGGGACAGCCCTTGAACTTTTTCAAAGCTCAAAGGCACCTCAAAACCTGGTTCTTCTCCTGCTAGAAGAGCAACAGCCATCCCTTCGCGGGACTCTTCCAAAGCCCGCGCAACTCACCTTCCTGCTGCACCGCGTTGGCTACCGCCTTTTTCACCCGTCCGGATTTCACCACGGCGGGATCCGAGTTGGCATAGTCGGCCACGGTCACTGAGGAGAGAAAGCGACAGCTTTACGGAGGCCCCTCGGCGAACAATGGTTGCCACCAGGCGCGAGTGGGCCAGGCTACTCACCGCGCTCCAAGCAGACGTCGTGGGCTCGAGACTTGAGACGCTTCCGAGCCCCGCGCTTTCGCATGGCTGAAGGGGGCGCCGCTACCGGCCTGTCGCGGGGGGCCATTTTCGCAGCGACCGCCAACCGACTGAGCTTCCTCCGCCGGCTGCGGTCGGCTCCTGGGCCATTCCGCTCCTGCCGGCACGACGAGTCCACCGCACCGCGGCTCTCGCGACATACGGAAACAAGGGCGGCGCGCGATATGGGTGCAACTCCTTTGCGTCGTAGCCTTGAGCGTCATCAAGTTGCGACAAGTGCGGCGGGCGCGGTGGGCTCTTCTTGCTATTTCCGTTATGTGCGTGCGGTCAAGTCAAGTCTGCGATTGATGGGGACCCTCTGAATGAGCGCTCTCCAATAATGCCCTGTCCTCATTAGCCCTGCTCACCTCTTGTGAACTCGAGGCTGTGGCTTCCTGGATCGAGTCAATCCACCTCTTATTTGATCTTCCATTTTTTCAAGTGTTACTGTTTTTTCCCAATCTAGTCTTGCCTTCTCATGATGTGCCCAACGTATGACAGCCTGAGTCTCATCTTTTTTGTCTCCAGATAAAGTTTAGACTTGTTTGATTAGGAACCACTTGTTAATCTTTCTGGCAGTTCAGGGTATCTTCAAAGCTCTCCTCCAGCACCATATTTCAAATGAATCATTTTTCATCCTGGCAATTTTCTTTACTGTCTAGCTTTTACACCCAAATATAGTGATAATCAGGAATACAAGCATGTGGATGATCTTGGCCTTGGCCTCCAGCAACAAATCCTTACACTGGATGGTCTTTTCTAAATCCTTCATTGCTGAGGCTTCTGAGTTTTTGCAGTCTCCATTTGGATTGATAATTGAACCAAGGTATGTAAAATCTTTAACAATTTTAATTTCTCTGTTGTCAACATTAAAGTTGTGTTGTTCTTCTGTAGTCATGATTATTGTCTTAATGTTCAACTGCAATCCTGCTTTGGCACTTCTTTCACTTTCATCAGAAATTGTTTCAAGTCATTGCTGCTGTCTGCTAGTAAAATTATGTCATCTGCATGTCTTAATTTATTGATATTTCTTCCACCAATTTACATTCTTCCTTCTGGATCTAGTCCAGCTTTTGGTATGATATGTTCCGCACACAGATTGAACGAGGTAAAATGCACCTTTGCCTGATACATTTGCATATAGGAAACCATTCTGTCTCTCCATATTCTGTCTTAATGGTAGCTTCTTGTCCACAATACATATCAGGACAGTAAAGTGTGGGAGCACATCCATTTCTTTCAGAACAGCCCACAGTTTGTCATGATTTACATGGTCAAAGGTTCTGCTGTAGCCTTTATCTAAAGCACAGAATGATCATTTTCTGAAATTCTTAGGTGTGCTCCAGTAGCCAGTGGATACAGTATTTGCAATGGGATAATGAGTGTCTCTTCTTGTTCAGAATCCAGCTTGAACATCAGGCATTTCTCGCTCCATGTAATGCCTTTGCTGTAACACCTTGAACATCACTTCACTTACATGGGAAATTAGAGCAACGGTCCTATAGTTACTGCACTCCTTGGCATCTCCTTTCTTAGGGACTAGAATGTATATTGAGCATTTCCAGTCTGTGAGCTATTGTTGTTTTCCATATTTGTTGACATATTCTTGTTAAGATTTTGACAGATTCGTTCTCTGTGGCTTGAAATAATTCTATTGGCATTCTATCTACCCGTGGTGACTTCTTTCTTTGTAGTGCTTTCAGAGTAGATTTCACTTCATTTTCTAGAACTGCAGGTTCTTCATTATAGGCTTCTTCAAAGGAATCTATCTTCCTTTTGTCCCTTCTGTGTTGGTCTTCAGTATGCTGTTTCCAACTTCTCTTTATTTTCTCCTGATCAGATAGTGTGCATCCATGTTGATCATTCAGCATTCCTAATCTAGGCTTGACTTCCCAAGAAATCAAAAGGGAAGTGATCTCTTCCTTTTTCGCTTTGTTGTTGTTCTCTGTTTCTTTTCATTGGTTATTGTAACAGTTCTTTTTATGTCTATATGACAGTCATTTAAAAGCAGCATTCAGGAATCTGACCATATTTCTATCACCTTTTGCTTCCTGTTTGTCCTTAGCAATTTTAAGTGTTTTTTCTGTCATCCATCTAGATTATTCTTTCCTTTATTACTACAGGAACTCCCCCGCCCCATTCTTCCATAATAATATCTCTGATTTCAGTCCACAGTTCTGGTTCACAATCAATTTGAGTTTAGTAAGGCAAATCTGTTCTTCACGTGGGTGTTAAATTTATCAGAAATGTTGTTTAAATTATATTTTGGCACTAAGATTCTTTTAGTGCTTTTCCTCAGCTTTATGTTTGATGTTAACAATTAATTATTAGAACATACCACAATCTGATCCTGGTCTTGTTTTGGCAGAGAGGATACAGTTTCTCCATCTCCTGCTTCCAATTGCACAGTCTATTAGGTTCCTATATTGGCCATCTGATATTGTCCATGTGTAAGTCTGGTTGCTTGAAGCATGTATTTGCAATAAAGAGATTGTTGGCTTGACAATACTCTACAAGTCATTCTCCTGCTTGATTTCTGACCTCTAGGCCAAATTTTCCAACAGTATTTGGTTCTGCTTAATTTCCTACACTTACATTCCAGTCATCTATGATTATGGGCATGGCTTGTTTTGGTTTGTCATCAGTTTCTTCCTAGATGCCTGTTTAGCAGCTTTTAATTTCATCTTCTTCAGCATCTGTAGTTGGAGCATAGACTTGGATGATGGTTATGTTGGTAGTTTTTCCTAGACGTCTGATGGATATTATTTGTTCAGACCTTACACTGTAACTGCCTGTGCTATATCTTGCCTCAGTGTCACTCCATTTCTACTGAGTTTGTAATTTCCAGGTGTGAAGATTCTTGTTTGACACCCACCCCACTCCTTTCCACAGACGGGAATGACATTGGTATAGGTTCCAAACTTTCAACTTCTACTTTAGGGTTGGTAAAAGAACTATTTACAACATTCAGTGGGTTAACTTTGCCTTCTCCATTCAATGCTGAGAAAAAGGGGGTTGACACTTGTAACAAAGAGTTCTCTATAGTTCCCCATTTTTTGGGGAGCCCCATCCTCCATGTTTATGGGTTTGAAGGGGCATCGTCAACAGAGGCAGCTCCTCTTCTTCCCATCTCTCACTTTTTTGTGTTAATTTCTTGACAGGCACCACTCCCCACCACCTTGTGGGAGACATCTCTTGTGGGTTGACTTGTTCTCCATGCCTCCACCTCTCTCTTATCTCTCTCTCTCTCTCTCTCCTTGCTCTCTCTTCTCTTATTTTTCAACACCACTCTCTACCTTCCCCCTTTCCCTAATAAGAGGGTTTTCTAGGCAGAATTTCAATGTCTCTCTGCCTCCTCTCTCGGAATAATCAATTGTTCCCACTTGTGGGTACATGGATTTTCCATCCATACACATTCCTAGCCTTCCAGCAGTATTTTTTTGTGTGTCTGTATTTCTTTCTCCCTTCCAGGGTAGAGGGGATGGCGCTGAGGTGTGATAGGATGTCCTTCTGCTCTCTCTCACACACCAGGGTAAAACACTTCGTAGTTTTTTTGACTGAAAATGTCCCAAGATGTTGTCATCTATGCAAGGACATCCAGACAAAGCCAAGCCAAGCCAAACAACAAAACATACCACCATGTTTTTGTATGTGTTGTTAATTTTGTTTTAGTTTTGTCAGGAGTAGTAAAGTTGACATCATAAAGGATAGCAACTCTTGCAAATAAAAAGCACATTCAATGCCTCATTGAGAGCCCTTTCCCTCAATATTTATTCACAAACTTGCCCCAAACGTCTTCCATTCTTAAGATTTCCATTGATTTTTAGTGTCTCAAGTACCCTTCAAAGCTGGTGCAGTATATAAGACTTGTGAAAGGTGGGTGTTCTTCCTGTTCAGATCATCACACCAGCTTAGTACGTACATCACCAAAACACCACCCACAGTCATGCCCCCCCCCATCCTCTTGGAGAATAAAACAGCTGATTACACAGGGAAAAGTCTATTTGAATCATTCTGGTGTGAAAAAAGTAGATGCCCCCAGGAGCAGTGAAAAAACTGCATCAAGAGCAAAAATGGCCAGGCTGATTCAAATTGACCTTTGCATCCTGTGGTCATTTTTTTAAAAAAGATGAATTCATTTTTTAAAAAAGGGAGTGTAGAAGAAGTAGCAATCTAGTCAGAGCTGAAACTGACCAGAGAAATTTTGTCTAGATCAGCACTTCTAGGGTTGCAAAGGAGGGAGAGAAACCTGAAACTGACCAAATACATGACTAAGCTTGCAAAAGAGGGAATCCTGCAGGCACAGGGCCTGGAGAAAGAGTTAGTGGCAAACGCCACTGATACAATTTATACTGACAGAGACATTCACATAAAGTGGTGCCTCACTTAATGATTACCTTGTTAAACAACGAAACCGCTTGATGGTGAATTTTGTGATCACTTTTGCGATCGCAAAATGATGTTTTGATAGGGAAACAATGTTCTGATAGGGAAAAATCGCCTAACGATCAATTCCCTGCTTCGAGAACCAATTTTTCGCTAGACGACGATTTTAAAACAGCTGATTGGCGGCTCTAAAATGGCCGCCTGCTGTGCAAAATGGCTCCCCACTGTGTTTTAGGATGGATTCCTCGCTTTACAGGCACAGAAAATGGCCGCCCTATAGAGGATCTTCGCTGGACGCTGAGGTATTTAGCTCACTGGAACGCATTGAACCGGTTTTCAATGCATTTCAATGGGCTTTTTCATTTCGCTTGATGAGGATTTCGCTTAACAGCGATTTCAATGGAACAAATTATCCTCGTCAAGCGAGGCACCACTGTATGTCAAATTGATTCAAATTGATTTGACATCTGAATTTAAAAAAAACCTGTGGCGTTCGCCCTTGTGCCCCTTGCCTGTCCCTACAAACGCAGAGCACACAAAGGCAAACTGCTACAGTGCTCCTTTTTACCCCGCTGCCACCAGTTGACCACTAAATCAACATTAATTATGGAAGGATGAAGATGCAGGTCCAAACTTCACTGTCTTTTAAATAAAAAGTTTTTATTGTTTACAGATGTCTGAATATTAATCATAGGTAACCTCTATTATCATCAGTCTCAACCTTCTATTTGTTATTACAGTTCTTACTCACTTTTCACTCTAATCACACCTTAGATCATCCCAAATACCACACTCTATCTCCTCCTCCACTGCCTCAC